GATTACGAAGTTGAGTAGGGGTGTTGAAATCCACTAATAGACTTGGCAACGTCGAAATCACGTTCACCCTATAAGTCATAAGTCATGTGTTAATATTATGTTCCATGTTGTTCTGCAATCTGTCAAAATTCAAAAGGTAACTGTACAAAAAGTATTGCAACAGACGCTACAAGAAAATGTAAATGTACTGTTAATACAATAATTATTATCAAGAATAAACGGTGTTCATACTTATAGAAGGACTATTCATTCAGAAGAAAACCAAGTTTTCTAACATTCCTACTTTTCACGTGCTCAACCTTTGTCAACTATTGAGTACAGTTATAAACAATTTGTTTTATTTTCATGATACTCATCCAGACAGCACCAGATATTCCATGAATATTCATAGAATATTCTTTTTGGATATTGCGAATATTCATGAACATGCCAGGAATATACATATCAACTATGGAATATTGCCTGAATGTGCTGGTGGGGAAAATTTTGTATATTCCCGGAATATTACACAAGTGAGGTACGTAGTTTTTGAAAGGTATCAGATTAGTATAAAGGTCAGATAATTTATACGACGTTATAAAAGCAGATGATATTTTATCATTGCCCATGTAAGATGGAAGTTGAGGCCATGGCACCATATCATGAGCTATTGAAACTATCATTGGGCACCAATGATGTGTATACGACGCTATGAAAGTTCAGAGAACTGAAGATTTTTCGTACAAACTACGTACTTAGCCCGTACCTAGTTTATTGGCAAAAATTAAGACAGAAGAGTGAGCTAGGTACGTAGTTTATGGAAAAAAAAATCAAGACAGTCGAGTGTGCTTTTTTTACTTTCTTTTGTATTTTGTTTCGTTTTCTATTGGCAAGTGATTATCTAGGAACTTGTAAATTTTTCAGTATTTTCATCGTATCTCCCGAACTATTGAATTCAGAGGAAAATGTTATGAGGGGTTTTTTGTAGATTTTATCAAAAGGAATAATTTTTGTTCCATAACATTTTCAGATATTTTCAGTTGTTTTCGAGATATTTGGAATTATCTGAGAATAAAATTTTCAACACTTTTGTTCCATCTTCCAATCAACAAAATGAAAAAATATTTCATGGTTCAGTGAAAGTCGATGAGCTTCATCTATCGATAATCTTTGTTTTTCAATATCTCTTCATAGTACCCTATGAGTCGTTAAAATTTTTTTTTTCATATTTTTCACTTTATTTCCTGTACTATTGGGTTTGCAGAAAAAATTATGGAAAATAATTTGTAGGAAATGTCCCAGTGGATAACTTTGCACTTCTGATAATTTTCGATTTTTCCATTTGTTTTCGATATATACTGAATTGAAAGGATTTCAAATTTTGATGTTTCGATTTTCATTTGTTTTTCCATTTTCCGATGGATGCACGAAAAAATGGTTGAATAATAATTTGTTGCGTCATCAAAGAGGCATAAGGTGCATTTTTCAAATTTGGATTTAGTCTTTTGGTTCAGGAGATATGTCGTTTTAAAGTGAACCGTGTTTTTCGGAAAATCTCCTTGAAAAACCCACTTGGAATTTCCTGATCCTGCTCAATTTCAATAGGCTCCGTCTCCCTCTGATAGAGGTTTTTTTCACAAAAAATGAAATCGATCGGACCACTTTTGCGATTTGTAGAGTGGTTACAAGGAACTTCCGGTGAAAAATCGAAAAAACCCGGAAAAACCACCTTAGAGTTTTCCGATTTCCTTCATATTTCAATGACATAATATTGTTTTGAGTACAATAAGATGGCAAAATTTCAAGTCGATATGTCAAAGGGTTCCGGAGATATATCGATTTATGATTAACACAGAGTACAGACAGACAGACAGACAGACCACACACAAAAACCAAAGTTGCTCAAAATTCGATGGGGATCATTTTCTCCAAAGTAACTATACCTCTATCTCGTTTAGTTTCCGAGATAGCATTTTTGGCAAGGCCGTAGTATACTCCACTATGTATAGCGTCGTATAACAAGGAATATTCCCTTTATATTCAGAATGTACCTATAATATTCTAGGAATATTTAGATAATATTCGGAATATTCCTGGAATAATACAGGAATATAAATAAATGAATATTCCGGGAATATTCCGTAATACATATTCATAATTAAAAAAAGCTGACCCAAGATGGGCTCGAACTCGGGACTTTCAGACTGTCAGATCAACGCCTTAACCACTTGGCCAGTTATCGAGTTGAATAATAATGTACATAACAATTTATTGAATTGCGTTGTTCAGAAGGGAACCATCATAAACACTTCCAGTTCCATATGGGCTCTTAACATGTACGATGATCTGATTGAGTACTTTGATCACTATCAAAATTGTGGAGACGACTTTTTGTTTTTGATCCCTGGTAACATAACCACTTCACTTTGAAATACGATGGACTTTTACCACAGATTTCAAAATCAATGTTTAATAATCACATCTATGAAATTGTGATTGGTTAATTTCCATACTTTACAATTTCATTGAAACACATGAGAATATTATTGAAATATTCCATGAATATACAGGAACAGAATATTCAATTGGGATTATTCCTGGAATATTTATACCTGAATATTCCCTGCACTATCCAACTGGAATATTCTAGGAATATTCACTTCAGAATATAACTTCTGGAATATTCCCTGTATATTCATTTTGGAATATTACTAGAATATTCACATTTGAATATTCCTTGAATGTTCCAGAGGCACGTATATATTCTAAGAATATTCGAAGGATATTCGGAATATATTCTTCCCTTTTAGCATATTTAGAGAATATTCTAGGAATATCCAGTGCTGTCTGGGATGAATTATCCACAAATTTCAGGTTTAGCAATGGCAGAAATATCTCCTCTCCTATCTGAATTTTTTCAACATGATTGTGATAGCAATCTTCAAAACTTCTCATTTTTTCACGAGATGAACTTTTACAGATGTGTAGACGATTGTTTGGTCCTTTTTGATTGATCTGTACAAGAGGTAAACCTGCCCTCGAAATTTCTGAACTCATATTATCCTGCCATCAATTTTTAACATCAAATCAGCTATCAATGAATCTTTTTCTTTCTTGGACTTGTCAGGTAACATTGTGAATGATAGATTATAATTCTCTATCTACCGTGAACCCACTCATACAGATAACGTTGTTTCGTTCAACCCTTGCTATCCCATTCCTCATAAACCAGCATCTTTCAATTTTTTTATCCATAGATTATCTAATGCACCGTTAACTACTTCTAACTTCAATATTGAATGGAGATGCAGATAGCATCCATCAGTACCCTTTGTACCTCTTTGACAAAGTTTTCATCAGAAATTCAACTGAACCCATAAATCAACGTCTCATTTTACCTAACAATATCAGAATAGTCATTTAACCAACTAGTGTATTAATGAGGGCGATTAATGATCGAGATATTTTAACGTGCGAGCGAAGCGAGGTCGTTAATGTTCGAGATCATTAATCGCCTTTCAATATACAAGTTGGTTACAAAATTTTTTCGTCGACTATATTTCTCATTTCTCCTGCAATGAAGAAAACTTGGTTCGCGAATTCACCATTCATCTGGAAACTGCTAAGAATCACCCAGTAGCCTTGTCACTGACATTAGTGACATTTGACATTTGTCGAAATGATCAACATAGAAAATAAATTCCTTGTGTTAGAAAACAGGGATTAAAATCGTTTCAGAAACTTGGAAAGGCGAACCCGTTAACGGAAAATCTTCAATGAAATCCATATTTTCGATTCAAATGCAGATTTCGTGAGTTATAGCATGAACAATGAATGCACGCGGTGTATGTTTGGTTGCCTATAAAACAATCGTACATTAATAGACAAATCGTTCAATAATAGGGGTCATTAATGAACGATTTCATATACATTAAACATAGTCGTTAATACGAGGTCGACGGAAATAGTCATTTAACCAACTAGTGTATTAATGAGGGCGATTAATGATCGAGGTATTTTAATGTGCGAGCGAAGCGAGCGCGTTAATGTTCAAGATCATTATTCGCCTTTTAATATACAAGTTGGTTACAAAATTTTTCCGTCGACTATATTTCTCATTTCTCCTGCAATGAAGAAAACTTGGTTCGCGAATCCACCATTCATCCGGAAACTGCTAAGAATCACCCAGTAGCCTTGTTACTGACATTAGTGACAATTGTGATTGGGGCACTCTTCTCAATCCACTGAAGATATTTGGAATCAATGAATCAATTGACAACATTATTTCCCTGGATAAACAAACTTAGTGTGATTGCCAAAAATTTTTCTACGACCTCAAATCTTGATACCTTTTACATTATTCTCTTCTTGGTAAGTACTTTGCCTTTCCTCGAATTTTGCTTGCTCTCTTGAAGTTTGCTCGGTAGTTTCAATTTTTGTTATCCATTCGACATAGGATTTATCACGGTTGTGCTTGTTTTTCGTCTTATATTCTTTGTTCCATGCTACAGGATATTTTTACAACAAACAAACTTAGTGTGATTGCCAAAAACTTTTCAACGACCTCAAATCTTGATACCTATTCCATTATCCTCTTCTTGGTAAGTACTTTGCCTTACCTCGAATCTTGCTTGCTCTCTTGAAGTTTGCTCGGTAGTTTCAATTTTTGTTATCCATTTGACATAGGATTTATCACGGTTCTGCTCGATTTTCGTCTTATTATCTTTGTTCCATGCTACAGGATATTTTTATGTCACTTGTCAATATTGCTGTCGTCTTCTTTTTTCACAACCATGTAACCTAAGAAAATTCAGTTCTACTATAGAAAACTTTCCCTTGTAGAAATTGCCTAATTCATACTGCCGATGATGGACTAATGATAGGCCGAATCAGGTTCAGATAATTGTGATGATACATTTGTGGGAAAGACTTATTGATGTCATGTCTTGTTTCTGAATCCTATTCATTCCACTATGGGATATCATAGACTTCTACCTTGGATTTATTACTTTTGTTTTCAGATATTCCAATTGATATGTATCAAAACATGGGCGTTGTGAAGTCAGTAGGGGTCGAAATATGCGGGATCATAGTGAATCCAGCTTCATGTCATCAACAAGCCCAACCACGAAAATTAGAGAAGTATCAGTTCGTGCCCTACGACAATACTCTCACTCTTATTAACAATTCAGAGGAAGCTAAAATGCAAGCCCTTCATGTAGTTCTAGAAATTGTTATAGAGAACAGTTCCAACGCTCTCAAGTTGAATGTATCTGAATTGATTACAGGCAAACCGATAGAAACAGCCTTATCTCCAATGATCAAAGTTTTAATCGATAATGAGCCAATGATGTCGACAGAAATAACTCTAGTAACGACAGAATCTGTTGATGCATCAATTCTAGAAGTGGATGATATCAAACATGAAATACGAGATATAAATAAATATTCGATTGCTAAAGATGCACATCTGATTGTCACAAGTGATATTTCGGAAAATAATCATGAGATTGTTTTGAAAAACGCTATTGCGTCTATCAGAATTGGAGGATTCATATTACTAGAAGAAATCAGGGGTCCTATCGATATCAAAAAGTTAGGTGGTTTGGAGATTATCAGCAAACAGTTAACCGATGAAAAAATGTATATACTCCTACGAAGGCCTATTCCACTACTGACAGATAGTGAAATCATTAAGATTACTGATTTGAATTTCACGTGGATTGAACCACTCAAGGTGAGATATAAAATCGAATTGTTGAATTGTGAAATTGTTATATCCGTTATTCGGTTGCGCCCTCTTCAAAAGACTTGTGCGAGCAAAAAATGACGGATGCGTCACCTTTTGACGTGTGATCCCAAACACTTCCTTGAGCCATCAGACAAACTGTCTGCAGTCGGGGATTTCAACCCACGACCGACAAGCCATCGTGATCAGAATACTAACGCTTCTACAACGAGGCTATACCTGGCTACCAAGTACCAACGAATCCAATAATTCTTAATATCATAAAGGCTCATACTTTCTGTCACCAACAAAGAACTGTTTTTGTAGGAACTAATGGTGCAAGCGGAAAACAACAATCGTAGGATTTATATTTATGTCGAAGGAGAAGAAATCTCTGGTATTATTGGTTTGGTCAATTGTTTGAAACTTGAACCTGGGGGTTCAAACCTGAGATCCGTGTTCATAAGAGATACAAATGCACCCAAATTCAGCATAACCGCATATGAAAGTCAACTAAAGAAGGATCTAGTTCATAATATACTGAGAAACAAGACTTGGGGATCCTTTCGGCATCTACCTGTGAACTACATCAAAAATAGTGAGAAGTTGCAAGTTGAACATGCTTATGTTGATACATTGATCAGAGGAGACCTTACAAGTTTGAAATGGATTGAGGGACCTCTCAAATATCAACAGTGAGTTTCTCATTTTACTTTCGACCAATGTGTTTTCAATTCATTTTCAATTCATTTCGATAATATTCATTCGAATGGGGAAGAGTGTATTATCTCAATTGAGCAATGAATATGGATGAATATTACTCTCATCTATGACCCGTGCTATTTATACATATTTTTGTATGCATCATTCGTCTAGTTATGTGTTATCACCATAAGGTGGTCTAAGTTTGGAGAAGAAAAAAATCAAATCTATTCAAAATAGTATAAGTCATACTCGATAGATATAGGACGAATAGAGTGGAACAAACTCATGTATATTTTCACCTATATCTAAAACGTCGAATGATACATGAAAATATTAATGATGAAACCTTTTTAGCATTCATTCATGGAATTATGAAATACTGGTCTGTTTCAGATATAATTGAGGGGGTCTCATGATACGACTCAGATTATACTCAAAGTCATTTTATCGAGTTTATAGGAGATGATGTTGAATCCATGGTCATTGATCATCAGCAATAACATTTTCATTTTACTATCCATCTTGAAAAAGTGTAATGGATTTGATAACAATTTATTTTATATTGAATATATTGGAGAAGAGCTATCTCAAATCTTTTTTGTTTTTGACGCTCCAAAATCATAAGATCCTTATTCTAGAAATATAAAGTTGAAGGATTCAACTTCCTTTTAGAGCTGTTTCAAAGTAGGCGGCAAAGATTTGATCTGACGTACCAATTGTTGGCATTTCGAATACCAATCCCTAATTGCACACACCGTTCTAGGGACGTCCCTATCTGGTACAATTCAAGTCCGAATGTCCCGGACCGAAAATGAGTGTCCTTGTGACGTCTCATCCCGTACATCTCATGCAATGTTCGAGCATGGACCTTGTTGTCCCTGCGAGGACGTTAACTTACACCTCGCCGACGAATGATTGCTCGTAGGCTATAAATACTTCCCGTCAATGTCCTTCACGTAAGTCCATTAGACATCCTTGGAAAACTTTTTCAGAATCAATTGGGAACCTTCAACAGACCATCAACTCAACTAGATGTCCTCATCAGTTATGCAAGATCTAGTACTAGAGGGACCCAGAAAAATTCAAACTCAAGAATAATTCGTACGCCCCTGGGACATCCTATATGACCATCTAATTGATATACCTCAGCGTTGCTGAAAGGTTGTCCTACGGATGTCCTAAGGATGTCCTCCGTAGTGCTTGATGAGGAATACTGTAGGATTTAGGTATTCGATAGTTGTCCCAGGAACATCTCACGAGGACATCCCTAGTTGGCCCTCAAGTGGGACATTTGTGCGTCCAACAGACGTCCAATGGACGACCACGGTACCAAATTCAATCGTCCTTTAGACGTCCTGAATGTCCGACAGGACGTCCTGAATGTCCGACAGGACGTCCTGAATGTCCGACAGGACGTCCTGAATGTCCGACAGGACGTCCTAAGGATATCCATGGAACATAATTGTGTTATTAGGGATATATTGTCTATCAGATCAAAAAGTTGCATTACAGCACCCAGTTTGAAACCAGTGGTTATATAGAATCTCATATTGACAATGGTTTCCAGTCGGTGTAGTCTTTCAAAAGTCAGTTGAAACGCCTTCAAAAAGGAATGTGCGCCGTGTGCTGCCAGTTTCTTATTTGGACTTTGAAGGAACCGGCGCTGTTTTTTTCTGGAGTTGTTTCAAATGATGAAATCAATATGACTTCCATTTCAACATTCTGATAATCAACAGAGAGTCATTATGATGTAACGAAATCACGAAAAAATATATGATGTAGGAATGTGCTAACTTTTCAAATGTCTTCGCATTTGGATATAGATTCCATCTGAAGTGATTCAGTAAACCAGAGAAAAGACTGACACTGGTCATGATTACACAAAATCTTTCGATATTCTACCTGAATATTCTCAGTTCACGCTCATTGTTAGTTTTAAACTATCATGATTCCCAGTTGAAAATTTTTTTTCCATCGATAGTCATTGTTCTAGGTATGAATATGCGCACCCTAATGTCTGCCACATCTATTACGCAGCCCTGAATTCTCGTGATATCATGCTTGCCACCGGAAGATTACCAATGAACGTCATTCGAGGAAACGTCGCGATTCAGACATATAATTTGGGCGTTGAGTTTTCTGGGACGGATATCAGTGGCAGGAGGGTGATGGGAATTGTGGACGGAAAGGCTTTGGCAACAATGGTTTTGACGAATTCTAGCTTCTTATGGGAGGTGCCAGAGGAGTGGAGTCTCGAAGAGGCAGCGACAATTCCTCTAGTTTATGCGACAGTGAGTATTTTTCATTTTCCGCTAGAACACACTCAGATGAGTTCTCGTCATAACTATCGAGGTGACACTAGATACCAACTTCTGTATAATGTTTTTTGATGAAGTCGATGATACAAATTCAGGCCAATGGAACCACCTATAGGAAATCACGAACCTGCTTGTATATAATGATCAAACATTATTATCAATTGGCATTTAATCACAACGCGTCCAAATCACTGGTACTTTATGTGTTGGAGATGTTGGAATATGTTGAGATATTGATAGTATGGAATGAATTCTTGTTTTCATTCCATTTTTAATCGGACCTAAGAATAGGAGAATATGCAACGATCATGCATTGGTCGGTAGAGAGTTAAAGTGTTGCCATGAATGCCAAAATTGACTGCTACGCATCCGCATTTTTTAATTCTTCACGTTTATTACGTTGGTACTGGGCTCACGGGTATACACGTTGTCTCACGTACTCTTAAGTATGCCTCAAATATCAACGTATTTTATCCAAACTTTACTCGGAATATGCCGATGAATCAAAATTTCCTTTCATTTTGATAGGAATAAACGTTTGGTCCTAATCACACAACCTGAAATGACCAAATCAAACCGAAAACAAAAATCACGTTCAACTCAATTCAAAGTCAATACGTGAATGTATTTTTCGTACTTTAACGTCTACTTGGAGGTTTACGTAAGTAAGGTGAATACTTCAACTCTCTATCAATACACTCGCATACGTATACATGATCCTCAATAGTGATGAAAATTTCAGATTTTCCTGACAGTATCGGTGAAAACCTCTCTGTTCATTTGTTGTTGGTATAGATTCTGAGCATTGTATATCAAAGAAAGCATTTAAGTTCTCATATATCTATATTTGAATAAACTATAGTCCAGGTTGCAGCATGTCCATTCAATTTTTGTGATGGATGATCTATTTTACGTCTAGTCTGTCGTTTCATGGTCTATGAATCCCTGTAATGTGTGTCACGTCGAGCTCAAGTCGCTGTCCAGTCTGTCAGAAGGATGTAAGTTCCATTTAGATATAATCATTATGTACTTATTATGTGAAGCTCGACGAGTTTTGCTGCGATATTGATTGCGTGCTGAAAGTTCAACACGATTCAGTGAAGAGAAATCATCAATGCTGAAGGAGTGAAGATTGCCTTCTTGAAACTGGACAACAATTAGTATCAAAGTGAAAAGTTCAGAGTCAAGATGATCTATGTCCGATCGGGTGCGTGATGACGAAAAAGCACAAGCCACAAAGTTCCAGAATGCTAGAGGAATAGAGAATGAATCAGAAGAAGTACATTGAGGAAACAATTGAAGCAACAAGCTTTCCCTATTGGAAAAGCTGTTACAATCAATGCTCAATGGAAAGTTTATATGCCTGAATACATGAAAGAGTTTTCAGAGTTAGTCGAGAAGTCTAAAGGTGTAGGTGAGACCAAGATTTCCATGTAGCTGCAGTGCTGCTGGGAGGCTGACCAAAGAGTTATTCAACTCTCTTGACAGCATTTGATGCTCGTCCTTGAAATAAGTGAGAAAAATTGCGTGATCAGGCCATGAGGAACGAGGAGGGTTCAATCAGCAAAGGAGAATTCATACAACAAAAAAGAATTTGCAAACAGGTTTTGGAAAAGGAAAACAGGAAACAAGATAATGCATCCACTGTCATCGTGGAGGGTGAGAATTGTCATCTCCAGAAAAAAGACATGAGAAGGAAAGATCAGACCAAATCAGCACTCGAAGAGATTCAAAATTTGGTTTCAATTTGACAGATGGTCACAAACATCGTGAGAATAAGTGGTCCATGAACTCAGAGACTACAAGCCATATGTTGGAGAAATAACAGTTGCTCATAGTTAGAACATGGATGTTCCAAGTAATCGGAAAATTGGTATGAAGACAAAAGCGGGTGTTGAGATCAGAACTCAATACTTCGAATAAGTACTTCATGTTACTGAACTGGGAAGTAGCCTGATGTCAGTACCTCAATTACCAAATGCTGGTTATACCATGAGTTTTGATGAAAATAATTGTAATATAAGGCACGATAATGTTTTGGTGCTAGATGCTGTTGATGGAAAAAGTGTATGAGAAGTTGAAACTTCCATGGAAAGGATGAGCCAAATTAGGACTCCTTGTGAGAACTCTAGAACTTTTATACACATGTAGCATAGAAGGCTCAGCCATAAGAATCTTGAAAGCACCTAGTTGCAAATAAATTAGCCACTGGTATAAGAATTTCGAAGTGTGAGAAACTGCAGCAAACTGTTCCTTTCATAGAACAAAAGACTCAAGGAAACCGTTTCCACTCATCATACGTTGAATAGATATTATGGATTTGATGTATGTGGACCCATGACAAAACTTCTACAGTTGGAGGTGAGAAATATTTTGTAAAGTTCACACATGACTATTCAAGGCATAACTCATTATATTGAATGCATCTGAAAGATCAAGTTATCGACAAATTGAGAAATCTTCTGGCTGAAATATAGAATAGATTTGGAATATACCCTAGCAACTTCAGGTTGGGAGTATGTATGCAATAAAATTGTCAGAAACTATTGGTATACAGTTTCTAGATAATGTACCTTATTGCCCAGAACACAATGTTATTTCTGAGCTAAAAAACCGTATCTTGGTAGAGTCTGCAAGGTGTATTCTTTCGGATGCTAAACTGCCATTTTAGTATCGGGAAAAAGAACTGACAATATCAAACTACCTTACAAACAGATTACTCACTAAACCAAGCGATAAAACACATTTGGAAATATGGACCAATGAAGAACTTGATCTGGAACATTTAATAACTCTCGGAAGTCAAACATTCATGAAAATTTCGAAACAAACAAGATCCAGATTAGAACAGGAAGTCATAAAGAAATCATGATAGGATATAGTGAAACAATCAAGGGTAATAGGATTTGGATCGAGAAACAGATAAAGTAACGGTGAGCCGCTCTTTGAAGTTTAATGAATTAATAAATCAACATTTCCAAGATATCAATAAACTCATGTTGAAAAATGAAGAAAAACTACACCACAAACTGCCTTAACTCTGAAAACATATAGATGGTAGAAACAATAATGTCTATAGCAAAAATGGAACAGGAACAAGAGGAAGGAGATGAAAAAGACATTGTAGGGAAATATTATTCAGATGATTATGAGCGTGAATCTGACAAAATGACAAGAATAGGAAGGATATCTACAAAGAAGGAAGATGAAGACTTTGTCACATATAATAACCTTCTCAGGAAAATAGCTTGGAGAGTCCAAAAGGTGATCCAAAAACTGCACATGAGGTTTTAGCAATGGAAGATAGCAGTGGATGGAGGTCATGGACAACGTTGCATGTAGAAGCTATAGTAAACCTACCAACAGCAAGCAAGCAGCAAGCAATTTGTGTCGAGGAGCCCTTCGATAAACTGGCAGATAATGAGGGGTTTTTTGTGATTTTAAGAAACAAAGCATGTTTGCAAAATTACTACAGTGCATGTGCATGCCACAATTGTATGCAAAGTAGATAATCGTGATACAATTAACACCAAAAACAAGCCTGCGTAAAATCATACGTTGAATAACTGTTGAAAACTATCCCCTCTTCATCACATGTTTAATTAATAATTTCTGGACTCACAACACGAGGATGGTTTATGCAAATTTTCTCCAGGGTTTCATTTTTTTTTTCAAATTTCAACAATAACCAGTCTGAATGAACTTTCTACTCGTTCGTAGTCGTCAATTCTCAATGCGAATTCAAATTTGATTGGGGACGCAACTGCATGTGAGCACAAGTTGATAATTGTCTAGGACATGTTGAAAACTCATGAGAATTATTACTTGAAAGTAACATAATAATATATTGAAAAATCGTTGCTAAAAATTTGTCGCTACCGACCAGTCTATAACAGTGAGTTGAATGTAAGGCACGTTTAGTTGCCGAAGGTTTCTGCAACAATCTGGTGGAGATTGGTAGGTTTTATTCCACAATGAAATTTTGTATGCCCTGAGGTCTGAATAAAATGTATCAATTTAACACTAGAATGTTGAGACAGCGTTTCTCAATGGATAAAAGTGATCAATAAATATGATTCAACCTAGAGGTTTCATTGTTCAAATAGAGAGAAACTATGGTAAGTTTATCAAGAAAGATTAGTTATTTTTGTATCTAGAGCGCGAAATGCTACTTTGGTGATCGAGATCTGATTTTTTTAACGAGGCGTAGCCGAGTTAAAAAAATAGTCGAGATGACCAAAGTATTTCGCGCTCGAGTTGCAAACAACATTTTTTCTACAAACGTCAAAAAATATAGTTCTAAAGTAAAAATATGCTTAGCTAGATATAAAAGATAGTGTCGAACTGGCCTTAAAGGCCTCCCCCTATCCTCCCTAGGTACGCACGATGTTCTACGAACATAATACGAATTTCCTTTTGTGCGCTCAAGAGATAAAACAAAGTTATTGTTGAACATTCAGAAATAAATGATTCCATGGATTTTTGCTCGATTGAGGACCATATAGTTGAAATATAAATATCTCATATATTTTACATAATAATGCGCGAAGTAGGTACTTCGCGCACTGTTTTACTTCGCGCATTGTTTTGTGCAAGGAATCATGGTAACGTAGGAAACTGAAAAAAGTGTCACTTCGCAATTTGTTATCAATGCGCGAACCTTGTCATTTTTTGACGTTTGTAGAAAAAATATATTGTTTGAAGCAGTCCTCAAGATTTTGGAATAATAAAGTTGAAGATATACTGACCAAACAGAATTTGAAACAGTCCAACTACAAGCAATGTGTTTCCTTTGAGAACTAGACAATACTGTTATCATTGTTGCACTATACCGGGTGACACAGGTTATCGGGCCACCCCTGTAACTTCTGCATTCGTCAACGGATTTTTCTGAAATTCTGTACAGTTATATAAGCAACTATTTCGGATTTGATCACATTACAATCCAATATGGCAGACTTCCGGTTTTTCTG